AAAAAAAAAAAAACTGGGAAAGCAGACTTTAGATATTTGAATAAAAGAATCATGTCATAATACCTGATAATCAAATAGGTAAGTGGTGTGGAGCTGGACCCTCAGAGTAGTGTGTTTTTTTTACTGTCTAAAATACATCAACAATAATTCCAAAAGGGGAAAAAAAAAAAAAAAAAAAAAAAAAACTGGGCATGATCTTCTTGTGTAACTACACTAAGTCCAGGTGTTTCGGAACACGAGAGACTGCTGTTTTCAAGTTTAAAAGCTCTCCGGATCTGTTCTTAAACACAGTACATGTAACCATATGGTAACTGGAGCTGCACACAAGCACAGTTGAGTAATATGGGAATGTTATTAGCTAGGTAAATGACCATAAGTAAGTACTGGCCAAATGATTGATTTAAAAATAAATGAATAAATAAATTTATAAAAAGCACGAAAGAGAAAAACACTTTATCAAACAACAAAAAACAAAATGGGAGTGAGACCAGTTTTGCAGTAGATGATGAATCACAAGGTTAGAAAAGCAGGATTCATTGCCTGGGGATCATAAATGTTTACCATGGCAATAGATTCAGATACGTTCAGCACCTTTTCAGTCTGACACTACGTTTCTTGACCAACATAGACTGTATATCAACAACGGATGTATCCACTGTGATGTACCCAGCTGTGAACAACAGTTTGACAATTTTGCCATAACTGTGTTTTTTTTGGTTTGTTTTTTTCTAATTTTCAGATGACGTAGAGTTAGAGAGTTGCCAGCTAATGCTAGCACTGGCTAGCTAGCTTGGATAGCAAGATGCATTTGCAATTCAGCATTAAATAAAATGGGCTAGTAATGGGCTAGAATTATATATTTTTGTAGTTACTCCATATACATACACGTAAGAGGTTGCCATAGTAACTAGCTCCATATATTTTATTTTTTACACCAGATGCTGCTTTTTGTCTAAACACATAACAGGTTTATATTATTTTAAGGTTACAGCGGCAAACGGAACTCACGGGTAGCCGAGCTCCATAAAGTTGTTCCACGTCTGTTTTAGCACCATGATGATTCCCATCTGCATACAGAGGTCAATGAGACAGCCACTAGGATGGCACTGAGGAGACAAGAAAGAGATAGCATGAAATCAAACTTTAGCCTTTGCCAACATAGTGTTTTAAAGTGTAAACAAAAGAGTTTCATTTTCAAGAAGGAATCCAGGAACTAGTCACTGTTATAAGCATGAGTCTAACAGGATTTGCAAGCATCACTTGCTGGAAAACACCCACTGCAGCAATGCAAGTGCAGTTTATTTTGGAAAGGCTATAGTCACAACCTGTAATTATTTTTCATACACTTACGATTATGATTTATTCCTGCAACCTTTAACAGGTTTTTAAATGTGCAGCCGAGGCAGTAATGTCTTTAAGGACAATAATGGTTCTGCATGGGAACGAAAGGCTGACTGAGGCTACACTTGTACTGTACATGTCACATTATAGAGACTTTTTCCATTTCTGCTGCTGAGGGAAAACATTAGCTCAGCACCTAAAAGCGTCGGCTCAGGCCTTTTGTCCCCTTAGACCACTCCACTGTATTATTTCCCTGCATGTTCCCAGAAGTACCACTTACTAATGATGGGGGTTAAATGCCTGGTGGTTAGCCATATAGTAATAGCTTAATGCCCAATTTAGAAATATGTCAATCCATAATGCCTTGCGATTATTCCCCACTGGGAAAAGGAAAGTCATTACTCACTTCTTCCAGTTTCCAGCGATTTATGAGACGCAGATATGAACCAGGTCGACCTGTGAATCTGTAGGCCAAGGGTCGAAAAAAACAACAGGAGTAATGAGTTAATAAAAGAGCACACAATTAGAGCTACATGTTTAGCGTCACCATAAGCTACGTTAAGCCCAGAGACGGCTTTGCTCAAAGTCTGTAAAATGTATCAAAATGGACCCGATGGTTAAAATGATAGATGTCACTGAAAAATAAAAACTCTTCTAGATTTGAAAGCCTTGATAATGCAAAATGGCAGTTTTCTGGTACTGAAAGACCTGAGACATCTTTGTATCCCTTTGGTTGTCCTTTTAAGAGAGATTAAACAATTTTCCTGTGACACTTTATTACTCTTGGATAATTACAAGATCCAGAAAACCTTAAACTTATTCCTAACTGTACTTAACAGGACAATTTTGATGGCTTTAAAGGCATTTTATTTCATGTAACAAATAAAAGCTGGAAGATTAATCTAAAACCTGCAGGGGTGGGCAACTCCAGGCCTCGAGGGCCGGTCTCCCTGCAGGTTTTAGATGTGTCCTTGAACCAACACAGCTGATTTAAATGGCTAAATTAGCTCCTCAACATGTCCTGAAGTTCTCCAGAGGCCGGGTAACGAACTAATCATGTGATTCAGGTGTGTTGACCCAAGGTGAGATCTAAAACCTGCAGGACACCGGCCCTCGGGGCCTGGAATTGCCCACCCCTGATCTAAGTGCTCACAATAATATGTGTAAAGAAACAGGCTTCGAGAACAGAAGTACACAAAATATACAATGCTGTTATAGATTCAATGAGATACACTGCGCTGCATTAGGTTACATTTTGTAAGCTACATTTTACATTTTTTACCTAACCAACAACCAACCAGCATTTGAACGTCAGCTGTATAATTTACACATACAGTACTATCATTGACCGTCAGGAAAATTCCAATTTGTCCCTAATCACACAAAAGGTGAAATCTTCAAAGGGTATCAGGATAACTATCCCCAAGCAGCAAGGCTGAAAGATGAAGCATACGATCATGCACCAAAAACGGCAGTTCCTCGAACGGCCACTTGAAGCTGGCTAAAAAAAAATGAGGAAATCTCCACAGACTTCTATTTTCAAAAGTTTACAAATGCTCTTCCTGTTTAAAGTAATATAAAACTTAATCTCTGTCAATGGGTTATTCACAACTATACAAGCAATTCAAGCAACCC